TCACTGAATTTTACCCAGTTTCATCCAGATTTTTGATATCCACCATTTCTGAATTTTGGATTGATAAAATTCTGTGTATATTATACGTTCAAGAAATGCACACACTATTTTTCTCAGCAAACTATTCCTTTAACAATATTTCTATTCCAAAAATCACTTTGCATTGTATTAATGCACAAAGGCTAGGGCCACCAAGAAACTCCTGCAATAACAAGTGCCTTAAGCTAATAGGACCTGAAACAGCTGGGGATAAAAATACATTTTCACATGCAACCATGTGTAAAAAGAACATTCCATAGTTAGCTGAGATTTTTCTTTAAAATACATATATATAAAATATCACAGAATATTTCATTAGCCATAATGATACTACAATCATGTCTGCAGCATCCCTCATGGTCAGAGTCAAAACTGTCCTCAACTATTAAAAGTATCTGCATATTTGACTGGTTTCTTGACTTGCCCTGCATAGCAGAAGTTAGGCAGTTAACATGGTATTTGAAAGTTCTTTGGTGAATAAGTGGCTACATTTTCTGGTGCTCTGGTATAGAATATAAAGGATCATAAATCGTAAATCATCCTTTCTCTTCAGTCATGTAGATGATTTATGAATACTTTCATAGATGCTATAAAAAATAGCATTAGGGCACCCTAATAAATAAACTAACCCACTGTCAGGAAGAAAGCCACTGCCCAAATAGGAGAATGCATGCAGTTATATGAAGCAGAGATCTATGGTCCATAATTCCTGCAAGATCTCTGATAGGTCCAGGAGCTGAATTTAGCCTCAAAGTAGAGTAAAATTCTGTAGAAGCAAGTGGATATTGTAACAATGAGGTTTTAAAAGAAAGCCTGAGCATTTTAAATATAATCTATGTGTCAATTGACAGAAGCAATATAATGTTTTGCATTTGCAAACAGCATTGGCATTTTCAACAAATGCAGAAGAAAAGCATATGGTAGTACAGTGATACATAAAGTCAAACCAGTAATTTCTCTAATTTCATATTCTACACAGTCCTAGTGTTTTCTGGGTTCCTAAACTATATCTTTGAGATAATAAATGTAATTAAAGCTGTATTTTCTGTGCCACATTTTCTATTAATGAGGAAGGATGGAGAAGCCAGCATATTAACCAGAAACAAATAAGAATTTTGGAATGCCACTTATAATACTATTCTTATTAACACAGGAAGATCTTACAAGGGCTGGATAAATGTTTAAAATGGGCAGGAGAAAATTAATGTACAAAGTAAGCACAGCCATTAAAAAAAAATTACTTTTTCCCAGTATAGTATTAACTATGTATAAAGCTTAATTTTACATACAAGCCTTGGGGGAAAAAAGCTCTAAAGGTCATTGTTCTGGGGTTTTTTGGAAAACTATTTGTTGAGAGCTCTGGGAAACAGTGAAATCCGTTAATGGAAATTGCAACAGTTGTCATTTAACACTGCTTGTTGCAGCAGAAATGGATTTAAAAGCATCATTATGGGCCATGGTCTATAATCTATGTATCCTTGCCCTGTGGAAGCCACTAGAGCTTGAGTTCCTGGTGATACATGGCGCTAATGAAATATCTTAGTGTGTTGTTCGTACATACTGTAGTTTGCATACTTTTAACAAAGACTCACGCTTGTAATGCTAATAAGAGGACCTCAAAAGCTGTGGAACAAAAGGGGTTAACTTGTCAGTAATTTCAATATTAAAGTTAATTTCCATGAAGAGCAAAACTGGGTAGGAAAATTCGCACCCCTCTTCCCTTGCAAATGAGACTTATTATTCTCAAATTAGTGTGTAAAAGGGAAGCTGGTTAGCAGAACCTTGTTGGAATTTGAAAATTTTCATATACTCACTGAGAAACATCACATTTACCTTCAAAATGTTCATAGACAGACACTATTGTACCATTGAGCTTTGGTATTGGATGTACCACTTGCAGCTTGTCTAATTGCTAACTGCCAATTACAAGCTTCAGCAACAAAACTATTTGGAGAGACCATGCGTTATGTGGAACCAGATGAAAAACAGCATCATTTTAAAAGCACCTGAGGGGTAAGCAAATGTAGCTATATTTCACAGTAATTTAAACTAAAAACGGGAGGTACATTTTTCAGAAAATTGTTAACAATATCTGCTATTCATCTTAGCTACAATAGACACAATGAATAGGATATCTACCAGTTGTGAACAAAGAATGGCTTCCAGTGTAAGCATAAAAAAAAAAAAAAGTGGTAATTTTGGGTACATCCTGATAACTGCTGATAAAAAGCAAATACTATAAGGATGACCATGGAATTTAATTATTGTACAGTTATCTGTATAAAAACTCACTAAGCAGCAATTCAGATTGCTGCTGTGTTTAAAGGTCCCTTCTACTGCCACTAATCAGCTGCAGCAAAATAAAATGTACAGTCAAGTAACTTTTTCCCCTCGTAAAACATATATTTAAAGAATTTCAATCCACTCTTTAAATGTAACATAGGCCCATTTTGTATCTCCTCCATATCTAAAAGCCCACTGCCTGACTCGGAGAGTTTCTGCTGTTTGTAACGAGTAAGAGACTAGAATTTAGGTGTCTATGCATTACGTGTCTACATATGGGCTTGTTGTGAGAGTCAGTCACCTAACATAGACATTTGGTGTCATTGTAGTGACAAGGGGTATTCCTTGCCCACCTCTAGCTCCAGGCAGACACAGCTTTCAGTCAATTTTGTGTTGTTTCTGGCGGATTAACCACCAGGTTAGCTGGCAGACTGGATTTACCAGAGCTCCACAGACTACAGTCAAATTATAGATATCAGCTCACATGTAGACACTCAAATTCAAGAGTCCTAATTCTGAGCTGAATCTTGTGCTCTGTGATACAGAATAATGTTCACTGTTTGTAAACATCTTAACATACACATTTCTATTATTTTTTATCCCTGAATCTCATAGTTGTTATATACCTAATCATATACTACTTTAATCAGGGGACCAACTTACTGTCATCATTTTGTGTTTAGATATAGTCCTGAACATGTAGTACACTCTTAGAATCAGTGTGAGAAAATGGATATGAAAGAAAATATTAGTTCTCTTGGGAGAACAGACACTGAGTGACAGGAATACAGGAATTACTGAAAACCATATATTCAGTTCCCTTGGAAACTTGGTCCATTTATTTTTATATATAGCACAATAAGTTTTTTAAGTCTTTTATTGCCTGTGTATTCACTGTGGAATCTAGCATAAAACCAGGCGCTTATATTGTAGTTCTCTAACTAATTTTGTCTCATTTAAACAACTAATTGTGTGAACATTATCTGAACTCTTGTTCAAATGCATTAACTGTTTGAAAAGAATCCACTCATTCTCTTTCACATCTCTTCCCATCTAGCTCTTTTTTCATTATTATTTAATTGAATTTCCATTTTTCAGCTTTAACAATTCCTCACAGGAAACTGGAATATCTGCATTCAGATTGTGTTAATGGTCATGTTATGCTTGGTTGATTAAATGTCCTTCTAAATGTTTTTAGTATCATGTAGACACAAAGTTTGTACAATGTTTCTAAGGATTTGGGGCAAGAAAGGCCATGAAAGTCCTATTTCAATTTAATTCCATTGTATATGTTTTTAGTCTTTATTGTCATCACAATTTTCACTAATTTTCTTAAAACTCCAAGTAACAAGGCAATGCTCTAAAGATCTGGTCCCATGCCCAGTGAAATGAACTTGAATTTAATTGGATGATGAATGGGAGGGATTAGAGGAGTACAATGCATCTCAGTTGGCTTGACTGACCAAAAGGATTGCTTTCTATTTAATACACACTAGTGCAAGTAACAGATTATGCAACATAGTGTAACTAAATCACTTGAACCCAAGTATTCTGGACAATATGAAATGGAAGAATAGAAGAAGGATTTTATTTTTGCACAGATGAAGTGCAGTCACTTCAGAGAAGAAAAGGATGATTCAAAATATCTAGTTCATAGTTTATAAAAAGGAAATACTAATATCCTAATGCAGATCCTGTTTTTAAGAAGTTACTTTAAGAAAGTAACTTTTGTAGCTTAATATTGGAAAAAAAAAAATTTCTTTAGGAGTCACTATTTTACATTACCACACGTTATTCTGAATTACAGGTATTCCATTTTTCCAGAACTATTTGGGAGTATTTTAAGTTTGCCTGTACTTTGTTTACTCAGTTTTGCCTGAGTAAAATGACACCAGTAAACGGACATAACCCAAAATAGCTTTAATCCAACTCTATTGCTTGTCTGACTTAGTTTTAACGGGGTGAGAAGCACACATCAGGTGGAGACTCAGAACATGATGGGAATGGTAAAGTCCATTATTTATATTTTCTGGTCTCACAATCTTCTCCCTGGGGTGCAAAATTCCTTTCTATACGTGTGTACAGTTGTGTGTGTAACACAACCACTACGTGGTGTTGTTCACCCTTCCAAACAAAAAAGAACAGTCTGCAAACTACCATGCAGAAAAAAAACCTCTTGTCCAAGTTCACAATAGTTATATGGCACCACAGTTCACCACGATACACTGCAACTAAAAGGGAAGAGATAAACCTACATTTCAAGGTCATCCATAATCCTTCCTTCATCAATGTTAATATTTATATAATGTGTGTATACATGTGTGTGTTTTAATTAATTTTATAGTAAAATGGAAATTCAGGTTATTGAATTGTTTATACTGTCTGACATATTTGTTAGTCCACTCCTTTTTCATGTTCAATAAGAAATTTGGGAATCTGTCACTAGCTCTTGGGTTTTGGGTTGCTCACAACAGAACAGAAGAAGGAAATAAATCAGTAAACAGAAGGTTGTATCAATCTTACAACCACCTTAAACAAACCTCACTGAGCAGCTTACTCAGAATGTAATTAATCTTTTTTTTTTTTTTCTGACAGATTTAAGAAAAGTGACAGGGAACACATGGGACAGAGTATTAGAGAAATTGAACCTCAAAAGGGGAGAAAGTGTTTTATGTTACCTCCTGGTTAGCAGCAGCTAGTTCTTCTTCCAGTGCAGAGACTCTTTCTAAAGAAACCCTCAGTCGTTCCCTTACCTAGAAGAAAAATCAAAATATGTGCAGTAACGTAATTTCTATCAGTCTTTAAAGATTATATAATCTGCCATATGCACTACTGTATGCCCTGCCAGTCCGTTTGCAGGCATGTGTGTTGCATCCTTTCATGAGACATACTGTGTAGTAAACATTTAAACCTAACTATAGGAAGACTTAACCCACAAAAATAGGTGTCAAACTGTAAATGCCATACTGCTGTTCCACAGTTTGCCTATAATTTTATGGAATACACAGAAAATGCAAATATTCTAAGACCACATTAGGCATAAAAATAAAATGTTGTTCACAAACATCTTTTACAAAGGATAAGGAAAAAACATTCGCAGATGTTTTAAGTCCACTCCATGGAAGATAACAAATCTGTTCATATTAATTGAATGCAACAAATTTATTGAAAAATAACTTGCAGCATTGCCTTCAGGCACAGATACTAAAGATTTTTTATGCCATCATGCAGTTTGTTTGGGTTTTGCAAAAAGTCATAAACAAGATATATTCTCAAAAGCAGAAAAGACTGCTATGTTTGTACCAGTTTCATAGATGACCTATTCTTTTCTAAGGATGCCTATGATCTACTCTACTGTTATGATGATGACTATTGAGATTATTACTAAACATTAATTATTATTAAATAATAATGATTTAATACCTCTGAAGACATATTTACTGTTGTTTGAGTGCTCTGGCTCAACATCAGTTCATACAGCAACAGACAACCTAAGCTGGCAATGTAGTTGCCAGTTTCCCAATACAATCAAAGGCAAAACAAATGTAAATTGATCTTCACTGTTGTGTGTAGGTGACTTTCTCTCCTGACTATGAAGGAAGCCTATGTCAACTCCTCTCCCAATCTATACAACTTCGTTAGGCACCTCCCTTTAAATAACTTTACCACCTGGCTAAGCAGTCAACACTCAAGATATATTTCTATATGTGTTCCAGCTACATTGTGGCAATGCTGTTCCAGGTGATGATCCAAGGACGTTTAAGGCTGTTAGCAATGTTTGTAGGGAAAATTAGCATATTCTATCAGACCAAGAGATGTAGCTGGAAAAAACATCAAAACAAAAATCTGTCTTTCATGTACAATGGAACATTTTACATTTTCATGTACTTAAAATTGTTTTCACACCCTTGACAAATACAGGAGGTCCCTGAAAAGGTTGTGTAGGTCCTAATGCTTTCATACTTTTTCCACTGATACTTCCTAGTCTAATAAATATTACCTTTCCTTATATACTTTATTTTCCATTACTTCTGAGCAAAATGAAATTTTGCAAATAGACTCACTACATCCTAAGAACGGCTTAGACTTTAATAGCTAAAAATTACTTAGCAAAAGTATAACATAGCATGTTCACTAAACTTTAAAACTAACTAAATCTAAAGATCAAATACATATTCAGGAAATATTAAGATGTTATCAAGATTAGAAAGAATCCTCAATTTTTTAGTCCAATTTCTGATTTATTAATCTCCCTCTATTCCTTCAGCACTATAAGACTGAAAAAAAATCAACTGTTACTGTTCCCAAAGATGTATGCTTTAGCTTAAATGGACATTTCCTACAGGGTGTGACTACATAATCAATAGCTGAGCTGCAGTAACTGACTGTGCCTGTTCCTCACCTGATGCAAATGAAGTTTAAGCCATCTTGAAGTAGCAGTGATGGAGCCTTCTCTGAGTGGCAGTGATAAGAGTGAAAATTACTACAAATTCTTGTTTCAACCATTTTCATACACCAGAACAACAGAATGCAGCGAAAATATGCAATGGAATCCAAAATGTTTCTGCTGTTTATTAAATTTTTGTACTATTTTTTATCAAAGATGTATGTAAAAATCTTTAACCATAAAGCTTGCTTTCCAAAATGAACTACATAATTCCTGGAAAACAGCCTCATAAAGCTTCAGATTTACAGCAGTACATAAGCTATCATCACAGTCACTTTATATAATTTTTTTAGTATTCAATTATAACACACTTGGAATATGTAAAATTAATTTGAATTATATTTACTAATTCTAATTTATTCATAATTTCCATCTAATTCTATTTTTCATAAAAATCCTTCTCACCAAATGTATAATGCATCAATTATTCTGGCCATAATTGAAAAACTTTAATTGTTTAAATAGCTGAAGAAGTATTTCTTACTTAATTTGCCTTTCCTTTTTCCTATTTTTTAAATCATATTCTGCTTGAAAAACAGTATTATCTCTCCAGTTCTTCTACCAGCTTCCAAGGGCAGCTTGATGACCTGTTTCTCTACCCAGACAGATGAAAAGGCCAAGGCAGTATGAGTCCACTACCTGGTACTCAGTCTTTCCTCTCTCTTTCCTCCTACCATGCTCTCTGCCTTCCCAGAGGTTCCCCCGATTCCTCCGTGGATCCCCAAACTCTCTTTCTATATCCTGCTTGTCTTCCCATCACCATTTCTGCCTTTCACTAGATCTCCACTATTAAAGTCCATGTCCTGTCTTCAAGAGGCCTGATTTCAATCTCTCTAACCACAGTGGGAGCTGGCAGACAACAACTCTTAATGGAAATCTCAGTTTAAATGTAAAAAATACATGGAAAAATGACAGTCATCTTTCTGGCTTCAGTCCTCTTGGCTGTAAGCACTGCCGAGGGACAAGATGATTGACAGAAAATTCACAAGACAGCAGTTGTTAATAGCTGAAATTAAATGCAGAGTTGGTAATTTTACTTTAAATTTTCATAAGTTTTCTGAAACCTCCTTGTATTCAAGCCTAAGTGTTTTATAAATGAGAATGCATGTTGAAAAAATATGTTATAAGATGTCTAACACTGGCATTCACTTTGAATAGTGTTAGAATTTGCAAACCAACTAGGTAACATTACTGAGGAACTCCACAAGGAGCTGGAATCAGAAAAATTATCCTTAACCTTTACATACTACGTCACTGCAGAATTGAATCCTAGTGGGTTTTGTACAGACATTTTAAAGCCTGAAAACAACATTCTCTGGAAATAATAGGCATTTGTTTCAAAGGAAATTTGGGAGACATTTTTTACATGGTACTTCAGAAAAAATAGATGGAGAATTAATGTCTTTATTCTGAATATCAAGCTATTATATTCAAATCCAATTTTTCATTCTTGGCCCTTTGTCAGTAACAACATGCAACAGTATCAGCATGACACAGAGCAACAGTTGGAAGTTGTTTCCCTTGCCTTGCCTTGCCTTCCCTACCTCCTATGGACACTGTTACTGCACTGCCTTTTTTACAATGACCTAACCAAAATTGCAATCTGATGGCCCTTATTTATTCTCTGAATATAAGAGCTGCTAAAGGAACTGAAAACAACTCTGCCTTGGCACAGAAGACTTCTTTTTTCCTTTCATATGACCAGTGAACAACTGATTCAGATTCACATTTGCCATGGTGACATTCAAAATGTTGCAATTAATTCTTCATTTCCAACCACATATATAGCAGCTGTTAAAGTTGAGGGAAATATTTGATTCTATCAGTGAAAAAGAGGAAAAGTGCTACATCAGCGTGCTGATCTGAAGCAGAATTCTGCTCTGGTTTACAGCCCACAAACTGTAACTTTGTTTCTCACTTTAAATTTCTTTCTCAGTCTTTAATTGATTTAAAAATAAACTTGAGGAAGAACACAAAAGCTGAGTAAAGATTTCAGGTTTGGTTATTCGCATTCCAGGAAAGATTACAGCCTACAAATGCCATACTAATGTATGCGGTGTACATATATTTTGAAAAAGATTTTACTCTGAGCAATATTTATCCGGTTAGCAATTGTGTCAATGTTTTCCTGAACTTCATACGTTCATATTGAATAACCTTTGAATCTAAGTACAGAGCAACAGCCAAAGCCTCTGAAAAGCCATATACAAATGTATTGCAAAGAATTTTGTATTGGATTCCCTCTTCAAATTTATGTTACAGCAAAGAAAAGAAACAGAACCATCCTCATTTCTGAGAGGTGCAGGAAAGGCTGTTGTTCCGGCTCACTATCTTGTTAGAGAAAAAGGAGCTGGAACAAATGCAAACTATTTTTATCTGATAATTTGGCTTTTTTCATATGATAAATGCAAATGAATGATTAGAATATTACATTGTTTTTTCTTTTCTGGAAGTGAAAGACAGTAAGTGAGTAACTACAGCTCATAGAAGTAACCATTATCTCAGTGAGACTGTGTTTATCACGTCAGAAATACCATACTACTTAAATTTCATATGGTCCTTCAATGTCTTTCTATTTTCTTGGGCACTAGAGAAAGCTTTACTAAACAAGGTTTCACAAAGTAAGACTTATCAGATGTCACTTGAACCATCAGAACATGCTATAACACACATTTTTAAAGGACAGATTCCCATTACAGTGCCACAGACACAGCAGAAAAGGGTTGCTCTCTTTATGTTAGAGTGGGTATCCAACATGTGCCCAGATGACTGGGTATTCCTCTGGCTTTTAAATGCAATCACATTATGTTGAAATGTAACATAGTCAATGTCATGTTAGCCCTGCTGTTGGTGCAAAATATCACCCATCTTTCTCCATCTCCTAGCAACTGCTTCCCACTTTTTTCTTTGCTGTCAAACTCTTTCTCCATTCTCTCCAGATTTGCAGCCCACAAAGAGCTTTTAAAAAACACTTGCACATGCTAGAATTGAATCACTTATTTTTCATGAACAGTCTATTGAATAAAAGCTCTCCTAGCTACCTGCTAATGAATAAAAAGACAGTGATAATGTTGACATGAATAGGTTGTTTTTATTTGCTAGAATATTAGGCATACTTTTCTGCCATGAATTAATCTTAAGAGAACCAGTGTTTTTTGAATCTTAGCTAGGACAATAACACCTGTCAGTTGCTTTTCTCCATGAAGATCAACTGGACACTTGTCTTAAAAAACTGACAAAAAAATGGTTTTGGAGAATAAGTTGCTTCAAACAGCTTCTTCTTTGCAAATGTACATTTTAAATGTT